CACACACACGCACACACACACACGCACACACACACACACACACGCACACACACACACGCACACACGCACACACACGCACGCACGCACGCATGCACGCACGCACACACACACACACACACACACACACACACACCATGGAGACTAGACGTAGGTCCCCATAAGCACCAGTTGGTCCCCACTAGTAGGGAACTCCTGCGCTCTCGCTGGGCGTGGTGCATTCACTGACACACTGTGAACCGTGCTGCCTTCAGGTCCCAGCTGGTGTGAGCTTCAGGGTCTTGAGTGTCGTCCTGACGGCGCCTTCGCACCGCTGCAGTGTGATGTCACTTCCTGCTGGTGTGTGTATGAAGACGGACAGGAAGTGGGCGGGACACGAACGGCTCGGCAGACGGGACGCACGCCGTCATGTGACCGTAAGTTTCTCGTAGAGTGGATGTCCATCACAGGAAGCTCCACCTCAGCCTAATGATTGGTCCACACATTTTTTCTCCTCCTCTCCAGGTCCTCTATGCCCCGCCCCCTCCATTACCCATGGTGCACTGGTGTGCCGCCCTGCAGCTGACGGGCGTCAGAGCTGTGAACTCGTCTGTTACCGTGGTTACCAGAACTCACTTCCTGTCAGCAGCTTCCTGTGTGAGACTGGGAGTGGTCAATGGGGCGGAGACAACAAGCCGTTGGGCGGAGCCTGTCAGAGTATGACCTTTGAACTCTGCTTAACTTTGTATTCAGTTTTAAACTAGTTGTGATGCAAGCGTGTTGTGTTAGGGTTTATATTGTGTTGTGTTATATTGTGTTGAGTTGTGTTGTGTTGTGTTCAGGCTCTCAGCCCCTGCAGACGGTCTGGTCCTCTCAGATCTGGATGTTGTCGTCCTCCTGCTCTCAGATCAGCACCTTACAGTCGTTGCTGTTCAGCCTGATGACCAGCAGGGGGCTCTGCTCTGCTCAGGTGAGTCTCACCTGTCTGTCACACCTGTCTGTCTCACCTGTCAGTCACACCTGTCAGTCACACCTGTTTGTCTCACCTGTCTGTCTCACCTGTCTGTCTCACCTGTTTGTCACACCTGTCCGTCACACCTGTCAGTCACACCTGTCTGTCTCACCTGTCAGTCACACCTGTCAGTCACACCTGTCAGTCACACCTGTCAGTCTCACCTGTCAGTCTCACCTGTCTGTCTCACCTGCCCATCACACCTGTCTGTCTCACCTGTCTGTCTCACCTGTCCATCACACCTGTCAGTCTCACCTGTCTGTCTCACCTGTCCATCACACCTGTCAGTCACACCTGTCAGTCTCACCTGTCAGTCTCACCTGTCTGTCTCACCTGTCTATCACACCTGTCAGTCACACCTGTCAGTCTCACCTGTCTGTCTCACCTGCCCATCACACCTGTCAGTCTCACCTGTCTGTCTCACCTGTCTGTCTCACCTGTCCATCACACCTGTCAGTCACACCTTTCAGTCACACCTGTCAGTCTCACCTGTCACTCTCACCTGTCAGTCTCACCTGTCCATCACACCTGTCAGTCACACCTGTCAGTCCTACTTGTCTGTCTCACCTGTCCATCACACCTGTCAGTCACACCTGTCAGTCACACCTGTCAGTCACACCTGTCAGTCCTACTTGTCTGTCTCACCTGTCAGTCTCACCTGTCCGTCTCACCTGTCCATCACACCTGTCAGTCTCACCTGTCAGTCTCACACCTGTCAGTCTCACCTGTCAGTCTCACCTGTCTGTCTCACCTGTCAGTCTCACCTGTCTGTCTCACCTGTCCATCACACCTGTCAGTCTCACCTGTCTGTCTCACCTGTCAGTCTCACCTGTCTGTCTCACCTGTCCATCACACCTGTCAGTCTCACCTGTCTGTCTCACCTGTCAGTCTCACCTGTCTGTCTCACCTGTCTGTCTCACCTGTCTGTCTCACCTGTTTGTCACACCTGTCCGTCACACCTGTCAGTCACACCTGTCTGTCTCACCTGTCAGTCACACCTGTCAGTCACACCTGTCAGTCACACCTGTCAGTCTCACCTGTCAGTCTCACCTGTCTGTCTCACCTGCCCATCACACCTGTCTGTCTCACCTGTCTGTCTCACCTGTCCATCACACCTGTCAGTCTCACCTGTCTGTCTCACCTGTCCATCACACCTGTCAGTCTCACCTGTCTGTCTCACCTGTCAGTCTCACCTGTCTGTCTCACCTGTCCATCACACCTGTCAGTCACACCTGTCAGTCTCACCTGTCAGTCTCACCTGTCTGTCTCACCTGTCTATCACACCTGTCAGTCACACCTGTCAGTCTCACCTGTCTGTCTCACCTGCCCATCACACCTGTCAGTCTCACCTGTCTGTCTCACCTGTCTGTCTCACCTGTCAGTCTCACCTGTCAGTCTCACCTGTCTGTCTCACCTGTCTGTCTCACCTGTGTCTCACCTGTCTGTCCTCACCTGTCTGTCTCACCTGTCTGTCTCACCTGTCCATCACACCTGTCTGTCACACCTGTTCATCACACCTGTCCATCACAGTGAATCCAGCAGGTGTTGTCCTCTGACAGGATGTTGTTGTTTTGTTGTTTTCAGTTTTCCTCCTCCGGACGCTCAGTGTCTCTGTGTGACGACTCGTCTGTGGGTCTGCGGTGCGACGGCGCCTCTGTGAGGTTAACGCTCCGATGGACCGCCGCTCTGTCTGACCTGCCCACCTCTGAGCTCCCTGACCTCCATGATGTTGGTGAGGTCCAGCTGACCTTCAGAGGAACCAGTGAGGAACTGGACCTACCAGAGGACATGTCTCTGAGTCTTCATGTCTGTGTTCCAGCTCTGTTCCTGAACGAGTCCAGACTCCTGGACGGGGTCCAGGACCTCCTGGGTGACCTCCGCTCTGCTCTGACCTCTGAACCCAAACTGGTTTACATGACAACCCCCAGCTTCGGCTGTTCCAGAGGTTTCCACCTGAACAGTGATGGTGAAGGCTGCCGTGAGTCCTGCTAATGAAAGATGGAAGTTTAGATAAAATAAAATAAAATAAACAGGAGCCACGTTTACCCATAATGCATCAGTGTCTCTCTGTCTCCAGTCCTTTGTCCCGCCGGCAGTTTCTCCCAGGAGGGGGCATGTCTTCTCTGTCCTCAGGGAACCTATCAGGAAGAGGAGGGGCGGGACTTCTGCAACAAGTGTCCCAGAGGCTCCTCCCCTGCTGGAGCATCATCTGTCAATCAATGTGAGTCTTTTTAATTATTTAGTTTCTATTTTTTCGACCACAGGAAGTAAATAAATAAATTAAAAAAATAAATATATAAATAAATTAAAAATAAATAAATAAATAAATAAATAAATAAATAAATAAATAAATAAATAGCTTTTATTAAAGTTTAATAAACTGAAACCTGTCTGTGTCTCACCTGTCTGTCTCAGGTGAGACAGACTGTCAGAGGCGGAGCCTGAGGTGTTCAGAGCGAGGCGACTTCCTGCCGGTGCAGTCTGACCTCCAGTCCAACAGATGGAGTTGTTTCAGCATCGAGGGGGCGGAGCTTGAATGGACCACCAGTGAAAAGCCTCTAACGGATGACGAGTGCACAGGTGACCACCCAGCAGCCAATTAGAGCTACTCACCTTCACAGCAGTTAAAGGTTTGGTTCTGACCCCGGCACGGGTTTCAGTTCTCAGCAGATTCCAGACTGTTCCTGGATCAGACCTGGTCCTGGGGGCCCAGAACACTGAAGTCCTGCAGACTCTGACCTCTGACCTCACAGCCTGCGTCCAAGGTGACAAGTGTCCACCTCTGTCCACACGTGTCCACCTCTGTCCACACGTGTCCACCTCTGTCCACACGTGTCCTCATAAAGACCGATGATGTCACTCAGACACATGCTCTGACTCATAGTGTTTGTTGTTGTTTACTTTATTGTTTGTTGTTTGTGTCTCAGAGTGTGCAGCGGAGCCGTCCTGCCACCATGTGGCGCTGTTCAACACACAGTGTGAACTCTACAGCACAAACACACAAAACACTGTGTGCAGGACCTCACAGCAGGTGCACACACACACACACACACACACACACACACACACACACACACACACACACACACACACACACAATTTCAGTTAATATCTTGTGTAAATGCTGTAATGACACCACCACACCACCTGGGGGCAGAATGTCCACTATGAGGGTTCAGATCACAGCGAATATTCTGCTTCTGTTTTATTTTTATTTTATTTATCTTGAACATAACATCCCTGTTTGTATAAAAAGAGAAAAAAATATGAGCTTCTTTCTTCCAGAACCACTTCCTGTTTCCTGTTTCCTGTTTCTTGTTCTGAATGATTTCAGCTCACAGTCAAAGTTTCAATCTGGTTAAATTGAGACAAAAATAGAACAAATAAATAAAAACAGTTTCAGAGTTATTTTAGTTTGTGTGGAACTTCAGCTTTATTAAACTAGGAAGTGTGGGCGGGGCCTAAAACAACTTCCTGTTTTCACCTAATCCCTTTACCCATGCTTTAGTTTGTTTACAGGAAGTGAATAAAGGCTTTAATGTCTGTTAACCCTTTGCTCTGCAGACCAGTGGGTTTATGGGTAATCCTCAGGCTGAGTCCTTCGATCAGCTGACCTGCTCTCTGAGAGTGAGGGGCGGAGCTTCAGACCTGCTGGTCCTCAGGAAGAAAGGTGTACAAATAACAAATAATTTATGACTTTAATCATGGCAACCTGAAGTTCCCCAGGTGTTCATGTGTGTTGTTTGTTTTAGGGGCGGAGTTTTCAGTGCAGCGGACGCAGCAGCAGAGCTTTGTGAGGCTGACGATGACCAGGGCGGTCTCAGGTGTGTTCAGGACTCAGGTGTTCTCCTCCAGGCGGACATCTCTGACCGACGCCCACCGCTTCTGTCAGGACGGCTGCAGCCGTGACGCCTGCTGCGACGGCTTCATCCTGAACCACAACACGGTGAACGGAGGTGTGTTACCGTGGAGACGGATCAACAATGAACCGTTTGATTTGTGAGTTTTACATTAATGCCTCCTTTGCTCCGCCCACCTCAGGCTCTCTGCTCTGTGGTTGGCTCAGAGCGCCGTCTGTGCTGATGTGTGACGAACAGGACTGGGATGTGATAGGACAAGGACCAGCCAATCGAAGCTGTGGGGCGGGGCTTACCTACAACAAAGAGCTGTCGGAGTTTGTGTTGAACTTTGGAGGAGAGACGTTTACGTTTGGTAAAAACACAACAAAACAAAACAGAAAAGAGTTTAACTGTCTGTAGGTGCAGGACAAACACTGAGCTGTTTGTTTGTTTGATTGTTTTGATTGTTTGTTTGTTTGTTTGTTTGATTGATTGTTTGTCTGATTGATTGTTTGTCTGATTGATTGTTTGTCTGATTGATTGTTTGTTTGTTTGTCTGATTGATTGATTGATTGATTGTTTGGTTGTTTGTCTGATTGATTGTTTGATTGTTTGGTTGTTTGTCTGATTGATTTTTTGATTGTTTGTTTGTCTGATTGATTGATTGATTGATTGATTGTTTGTCTGATTGTTTGTTTGTCTGATTGATTGTTTGTCTGATTGTTTGTTTGTTTGTTTGTTTGTCTGATTGATTGATTGTTTGTCTGATTGATTGATTGATTGTTTGTCTGATTGATTGATTGATTGATTGATTGATTGATTGATTGTTTGGTTGTTTGTCTGATTGATTGTTTGATTGTTTGGTTGTTTGTCTGAATGATTTTTTGATTGTTTGTTTGTCTGATTGATTGTTTGATTGTTTGGTTGTTTGTCTGATTGATTGATTGTTTGTTTGTTTAGCTGAGTCAGCTGTGCCAAACGACAGAAAGAATGAAGACTACCAGGCGTCCATCATCAGATTCAACACCATCTACCTGAACACAGGTAATCCTCTGTCCAGTCATGTGACCCGTTGTACTTGTGCAGTCTGGTTCAGGTCTGGTTGAGTCTGGTTCAGGTCTGATGGCTTGTTGTTTCAGATCCAGCTGGTGGTTCTGGTTCTGGTTCTGGCTCCTGCTCCTCTTCAGAGACTGCTCCTCTGACAGGTTTGTCTTGAATAAATCCAGCTCAGATTTAAACAGTAGTCTTTCCTCACGGTGAACTTTGTGTTCGCAGCTTCGGATCAGAACAACTTTGAGTCTCTGTCCAACGAGGACGTCCTGGTGGACCCTCAGAGGAGACCTCCTGCTCTGTCCTTCTGGCTCAACAAGAAGAACTACAACTCCCAGCAGGCCCTGCAGTGGTGCCTCTCACGTATGTTACTTCCTGAGGGTTTCATTTGGTGAAAACTCGTCTGGACGCAGTGTGGGGGTCCGGCCTGCAGGGGGCAGCACTCAGCCAGCTTCCTGTCTGTGTTTCAGGCTGTGAGGAAGAGGAGCGGTGTTCTGTCGCTGACCTCAGAGACGCAGAGTCCGATGGGTTCCTCAGCTGCTCCTTGTACCCGGACACCGGGCTCTGCGGGGCCTTCGACAGCGAGCTGGGCCGGTCCTGCAGCCCCGTGCTGCACAGAGCGCCTGACAGGACCTACAGGAAGAAGGGTGGGGGTCCGAACATGATGACTCACTCTGATCATTAATGAACAAACCATGACATCATCCTGTTTGGTACCTGGGTTCTAGTGGACCTGAGAGGACCGGTGAAGACCTTCTATGAGCCGGTTCCCTTCCAGAAACTGCTTTCTCCTTCCATTAGAAGCTGGACCACCATGAAGGACAACACCAGGCTGTCGGAGGGGTACCACACACACACACACACAGAGACACAGAGACACACAGAGACACACACACACGTAACACTTGATGATGATGATGATGATGATGATGAAGATGAAGATGTTTGTGTGTTCAGGTTCACAGTGTGTGAGCGTCTCTGTGACCAGGATCCTTGTTGTCGTGGTTTTGGTTTCGTTCGTTACATCAGAACCTCCGGTAAACACCAGAGCTAACAGAACCTCCTCAGTGCTGCGTGTGTGTTTTAATGATGTCACAGTGTTAACGGTGTGTGTCTGTGTGTGTCTGTGTGTGTGTCTCAGAGGTGGTGTGTCTGCCTCTGACCAGCTTCGGGCTTCAGACGTGCAGTGAAGACGACATGACCACCTGGAGGACTCAGGACTGCAGAACCTCTGAGCTGGACTCTAAACCAGAACCGTTCGGCTGGTACCAGAAACCAGGTACTGACACACACACACACACACACACACACACACACACACACACACACACACACAGAACAGGTGGACAACGTAACATTTGTGTGTCTCCAGTGGATCAGTGGACTCTGTCTCCTGGTCTCTGTCCTCCGTCCAGCCTGCCGGACCTTCAAACCAAAGGTGAGTCTGGACCTCAGCAGCAGTTCTGAAGTTCTGAACCAAAGACCGGGTCAGGTCTGAATGGACCTCTTTAAAGCTGGACCGGGTCAGAACTTGTTCTGTTGTGTCTCAGTGTCGATGGACGAGTGGCACAGCGTCCCAGACTCTGCGGTTCTGGTCGACCCGACTCTCTCTACGTATGATGTCATCCACGTGAGCCGGGACCTGGCCTCGGACCAGAACAGAACCAGAGCCTGGTGTCTGAACGGTAACTCTGTCTTTAAAAAACATAAAACCTCAGGTGAGACCTCGTTAATAAACCCCGCCCCCTCGTTTCCTGACAGCCTGCCAGGAGGCGGAGTCTTGTGTCGCCGTGTCACTCAGAGAGACGAGGTCCGCCACCCGCTGCGTCCTCTACCCCGACACGGTCGTCTGCGGGCTGAGCTCCTCCCCCAGCTCCTCCAGCCCCGCCTCCTCCTGCCGACTGGTCCTCAAAGAGCCCGCCTCCCGAGTCTACCAGCGCACAGGTGAGCTGAGGAGCCAATCAGAGGGGAGGACGGTGTGTGTCAGGACGTCACTCATGTCTGTGTCTCTGCAGGACCGATGGCCCCGCCCACGTCCCTGTCCATACCGGGTCACGGGTCTCTGCAGGGCGCTGCCGTGGACACAGTCGTAGGGTCAGAGACGAGGACGGTGGTTCAGTTCCTCGGAGTCCCGTACGCCCGTCCACCGATCGGACCGCTCCGCTTCGAGGCGGCGCAGCCGGCCGATTGGACCGGGACCTGGGAGGCCCTGAGACCCCGGTAGGTTTTTCTGACCCTGTTTGTAATTAAAGGTTAATGTGAGGTGAGGCTGAGGACACCTGTCTGTCTCAGTCCCAGCTGTGTCCAGCCTGGGGACATGGAGACATCAGCCTCCAGCGAGGACTGTCTCTACCTGAACGTCTTCGCTCCGGCAGCCCAGGTGAGTCCACACATCAGTTCACTCAGACACACCTGTAGATTAAACCGTCTTCACTCACCTGTCCTCAGAGAGCACCTGTCCCCGTCCTCCTGTACTTCTTCAACCCCACGGCCAATCAGAACCCAGGACTGCTGGACGGCTCCGCCCTCGCTGCTCTGGGAAACATGGTGGTGGTAACGGCCAGCTACCGCACGGCGGCGCTGGGCTTCCTGAGGACAGGTGAGTGAACAAACACACACCTACAGGTAGACACAGACAGGTGTTCCAGCTCTGACTCCGCCTCCAGGTGATCTCCGTGGGAACTACGGCCTGTCAGACCAGGAGGCGGCGCTCCGTTGGGTCAACGCCCACATATCCCTGGTGGGCGGGGACAAGAAGAGGGTGACGGTGGGGGCGGAGCGTAGCGGCGCCGACCTCAACAGCCTTCATCTCCTCTCCTCCTCTTCCTCCCTGTTCCAGAGGATGATTCTGATGGTGAGGAGCCTTCATCACAGTCTTCATCATAGTCTTCATCACAGTCTTCATCACAGCCTTCATCATAGTCTTCATCACAGTCTTCATCACAGCCTTCATCATAGTCTTCATCACAGTCTTCATCACAGTCTTCATCACAGTCTTCATCACAGCCTTCATCACAGCCTTCATCACAGTCTTCATCACAGTCTTCATCACAGTCTTCATCACAGCCTTCATCACAGTCTTCATCACAGTCTTCATCACAGTCTTCATCAGTCTTCATCACAGTCTTCATCACAGTCTTCATCACAGTCTTCATCATAGTCTTCATCACAGTCTTCATCACAGTCTTCATCACAGTCTTCATCACAGTCTTCATCACAGTCTTCATCACAGTCTTCGTCAGTCTTCATCAGTCTTCATCACAGTCTTCATCATAGTCTTCATCAGTCTTCATCAGTCTTCATCACAGTCTTCGTCAGTCTTCATCACAGTCTTCATCACAGTCTTCATCAGTCTTCATCACAGTCTTCATCATAGTCTTCATCAGTCTTCATCACAGTCTTCGTCAGTCTTCATCACAGCCTTCATCACAGTCTTCATCACAGTCTTCATCAGTCTTCATCACAGTCTTCATCATAGTCTTCATCAGTCTTCATCACAGCCTTCATCACAGTCTTCATCACAGTCTTCATCACAGCCTTCATCACAGTCTTCATCACAGCCTTCATCACAGCCTTCATCACAGTCTTCATCACAGCCTTCATCACAGTCTTCATCACAGCCTTCATCACAGTCTTCATCACAGCCTTCATCACAGTCTTCATCAGTCTTCATCAGTCTTCATCACAGTCTTCATCACAGCCTTCATCACAGTCTTCATCACTTGTCTGTTTAACTTGTACTCCTCTTCCTGTTCCTGCAGGGCGGGTCCATCTTCTCTCCGTCTCTGGTCCAGTCGGACTCGTCCTCCAGGAGTCAGGTCTTGGACCTGGCCCGGGAGCTGGGCTGCGTCACCTCTGACCTCAGCGACGGCGCCGACATGGTTTCCTGCCTCAGGTCGGCCCCGGTCCAGCAGCTCAACGCCGCTCAGACTAAAGTAGGTCCTGATGGTTTGTGACCGCTCCAGTCCAGTTCTACGCTTCTGACCCAGTTCTGACCCGGTTCTGTTGCAGCTGCTGGCCGTCAGCGGCCCCTTCCAGACCTGGTCTCCGGTCCGTCAGTCTGTGTCTCAGGTGTCCTCCCTCCCTGGAGTGGACCTGCTGCTGGGGACCTCGGTGTACGACGGCCTGATCAGCCGGGCCCGCAGGATCAAGGTCTGGGCTCTGGACTCAGGACTCAGGTGAGACCTGAGGTCTGAGGGGTCAAAGGTCACATGTCCCTCTGTCTCCGCAGGACTTCGAGGCCCTGCAGGGCCGGGCCAACAGTAAGACGGCATTCTACGCAGCTCTGAGCCGCTCGCTGGGTGGAGCCTCAGAAAACCAGCTGCTGAAGGAGGCGGCCAACTGGTTCTACTCCCTGGACCACAGCCCCACCCCCGCTGGGTACAACCTGTTCTCCAGAGCCCTGAACAACGCCACCAGGTGAGCCTGGGCCGGAACCTGGACCTGGGCCGGAACCTGGACCTGGGCCGGAACCAAGGACAGAAACCAGAAACCAGGACCAGGACCAGAAACAGAAACCAGAGCCAGAAACCAGAAACCAGAAACCAGAGCCAGAAACCAGAAACCAGGGCCAGAAACCAGAAACCAGAAACCAGAAACCAAAGCCAGAGCCAGAAGCCAGAACCAGAAGCCAGAAATCAGAACCAGAAGCCAGAAACCAGACCCGGAAACCAGGGCCAGAAACCAGAAACCAGAGCCAGAAGCCAGAACCAGAAACCAGAACCAGAAGCCAGAAACCAGAAACCAGAGCCAGAAACGGAAACAAGAAACCAGGGCCAGAAACGGAAACAAGAAACCAGGGCCAGAGCCAGAAACCAGGGCCAAAACCAGAAACAGAAACAGGAAACCAGGGCCAGAAACCAGGGCCAGAGCCAGAAACAGAAACAAGAAACCAGGGCCAGAAACCAGGGCCAGAGCCAGACACCAGGGCCAGAGCCAGACACCAGGGCCAGAGCCAGACACCAGGGCCAGAGCCAGACACCAGGGCCAGAGCCAGACACCAGGGCCAGAGCCAGAAAACAGAGCCAGAAACAGAAACAAGAAACCAGAGCCAGAACCAGAAACCAGGGCCAGAACCAGAACCAGAAACAAGAAACCAGGGCCAGAAACCAGGGCCAGAGCCAGAAACCAGGGCCAGAAACAGAAACCAGAGCCAAAACCAGAAAGCAGAGCCAGAAGCCAGAAACAGAAACCAGGGCCTGAAGCCAGAAACCAGAGCCAGAAACAGAAACAAGAAACCAGAAACCAGAGCCAGAGCCAGAACCAGAACCAGAAACAAGAAACCAGGGCCAGAGCCAGAAACCAGGGCCAGAGCCAGAAACCAGAGCCAGAAACAGAAACAAGAAACCAGAAACCAAGGCCAGAGCCAGAAACCAGGGCCAGAGCCAGAAACCAGNACCAGGGCCAGAGCCAGAAACCAGAGCCAGAAACAGAAACAAGAAACCAGAAACCAAGGCCAGAGCCAGAAACCAGGGCCAGAGCCAGAAACCAGGGCCAGAAACAGAAACCAGAAACCAGAGCCGGAAACCAGAAACCAGGGCCAGAACCAGAAACCGGAGCCAGAAGCCAGAAACCAGGGCCAGAAACAGAAACCAGCGCCAGAACCAGAAACCAGCGCCAGAACCAGAAACCAGGGCCAGAACCAGAAACCAGGGCCAGAACCAGAAACCAGGGCCAGAACCAGAAACCAGGGTCAGAACCAGAAACCAGGGCCAGAACCAGAAACCAGGGTCAGAACCAGAAACCAGAACCAGAAACCAGGGCCAGAACCAGAAACCAGGGCCAGAACCTGAAACCAGAACCAGAAACCAGCGCCAGAACCAGAAACCAGGGACAGAACCAGAAACCAGGACCAGAAACAGAAACCAGGACCAGAACCTATCAGTTTGTCCTCAGGTTGAGGAATAAAAACTAACAGGAAGTTTGTTTTCAGGGATCTCTTCATCTTCTGTCCCACTCTGAAGATGGCCGCCCACTGGGCCAACAGCAGCGCCAACGTCTTCCTGTACCACCAACCAGAGACCAGCGCCTACAACAGGTACCACCAGAACCAGAACCAGAACATCAACAGCTCAGAGCAGAACTGTAACTGGGCCTTTCTCCTCTGCAGAGCTGATTATTCGGTTCCTCTGGACCTTCAGTTCATGTTCGGGACTCCTCTTCATCCAATGAGCTTCCAGCGTTTCTCCTCCTCTGACCGCCGCCTGTCTCTGGCAGCGATGACCTACGTCTCCAGCTTCGTTCGGACCGGGTCAGAATAACTGAAGCTCCTCCAGCCGGACCTCCTCCTGCAGGTGAACTCACCTTTCCTGTTTTTACCTCAGGAACCCCAACCCGTCCCGAGCCTGGCCCGAGTCGGTCCTGCCCCGCTGGCAGCCGGTCCTTTCCTCTGAGGCTCCGCCCACCTACCTGGAGCTGAACTCCGCCCTCCAGCATCAGCAGGGTCTGAGTCAGAACGCCTGCTCCTTCTGGACTCAACTGGGCCCAAGACTGACCACCAAGACCGGTACCTACTGTAATCTGAGTACACTGATCTGTAATCTGATTACTGTAATCTGAGTACACTGATCTGTAATCTGATTACTGTAATCTGAGTATACTGACCTGTAATCTGATTACTGTAATCTGATTACTGTAATCTGAGTACACTGATCTGTAATCTGATTACTGTAATCTGATTACTTTGGTTTCAGTGAACAGGTAACGTTTAAACTGCAGGTCTGTGAAAGTTTGTTTTGTCTCCAGGTGTGTCGGGGGCGGAGCCTGTCCAGTTATCGGTGACCCTTGACCTGCCGGTGGATTCACCATCCAGCCAATCAGAAGTGGGCTACAACTAGACGATGACATCACCGTACCTTCTTACCCAGAATTCAGTTTGTTTGATTAAAAAACATGATTATGTTTGTTTTCATCAATAAAAGCATCTAAAGTCAGAGGCTTGTTGTGGGCGGGTTTTTACCTGGACTGACAGGTGGTTCGGCCAATCACAGGAGTCGCTCTTATTTCTAATGCCTGTAGAACAATAAAATGTACATTTAACACATATAACACATAAACATTTAAATCTTCTTCTATGTAAAATGTATGTCACAATGCAGTTCAGAAGCAAAATAACTACTATTTTAACTCTTTGTATCTCTGAGATTCAGTGTTGTAAAAATCTGAAAATTTCCACGAGTAAGAACCAATCTCTTCTGTCGCTCACGGTTCAGGAAGTATTTTAATAAACCTTACAGTTTTCACACAGCGGCCAGTTGTTTGAACTAAACTTTTCAGAGATTTTCTCATGTGTTGCAGATGGTTTCTGCCCCGCCCTGTAACGACATCACAATCAGGCCTTCTGATTGGCTGAGGCTGTTGCTGGGCGGAGTAGCCTCTTGAGTTTTAAAACAAAAAGAGGCTCTGTGTAACCCAACATGGCACCCAGATTACTCAGCATTTTTAAGACATACAAAGCTGAAACTTGTTGGGTTGATAGCTGAGAGCTAACTCTACACATTATTAATGCTACTCACAAATTTAAGCTAACTGCTAATGCTAATTTAAAAGAGGATCCAATTCAGAGCTGAAAACTGGTATAGTAGCAGCCAAGAACAAGCTTTGGCAAATCCCGAATGCTAAATAAAAATCCAAGATGGCCGACAGCTAAAATGTAAAATTTCAGCCATTTTTAGACAGATTTGACTCAAATTTGTGATGATAGTGACGTCAACCAGTAAAATCAAATCTTTATTTAAATTGGACGCCACATGCAAGCCCTTTTATAGTTTCTTCAGGAACTATTCTGGTTTAATATCCAATTTTTGTTTTTCTTTGAAACCTTTCTGCAGCATTACTATAAGATAAGGTAAACACAAACAATAAACGTACAGAAACAAACTGAACTGGATCTTTGTGAGGAGTACTTCCTGCTCACCAACATGTTGGCTGAGTTCAAACATGCAGAACCAGTCCAGAGTTCTGGACCTGAAGCTCTGATCCAGAACTATTTAAGCATCCGACCCACTGACCTCAGAGCTGCAGTGTTTCAGAGACAGGAGGAGGGGCCTGGGACACACCTGCTGCAGAGGACAGAGAAGACACGCCCCCTCCTGTTAGAGAACCATCAGGAAACAGATCCTGATCTGCCCGTCTTCATTTCTACTGCGAGGGGGCGGCTGCACGGCCCGCTGCTCCCAAACACTCTGAACTCAGAGAGGCTGCAGCAAAAACCTCTTACCTTAAAGGGGGAGGGGCTATGTGTGTGGGCGGGGCCAACAGGACACGCCCAGTCTCAAATTTACAAACCTCTGCTTTTATAAACAAACTCATGATTCTGTGGGTCCAACTTGTAGAAATGAGAAAATTATAACTTTGATGTTAATTAGAAGCTAAGATTTCCAACAGAACCTAAACGCATCATCTCAGAATGTCCCTGAAGGCAGCAGGATCTGTGCTTCTCTTCAAGTTTTATAAAAGTTTTTAATAAAACTGTGACTAACGAATCAAACTGTTAAACTAAAGGTCCAGATGAATGCTGCCCTCAGCTTCAGAACAGTTCCACCACAGAGAGGAGCTCTGACAGAACCCAAAGCATGATGGGAGGAGTCCCTCCCCCACCTGAGCCCAGGTGAGGCAGGTGTATAAAGGAGCCTTTCTCTCGCCTCCAGCAGCTTCACACACTGACATCTTTGTCACAAACTGGGATTTCCTGCAGGAAGATGGAGGCACTGCTCACACTCTGCATCCTGCTCAGCTTCACTGCTTCAGGTAAAAACAGGATTTTATCTCTGAAGGTTTGATTTAAAACAGGAATAAAACTAAACTTTACAAACAACAGATCACAAATCTGAAGTTTTCTTCAGTTTAAGGAAGAAATAAAAGTCTTCAATCAGTTCATTAATCCATTAATTATCCTGTAATAAACTAAAATATTTAAAATATGTCTCAAGATTCACTTTAACGTTCATTTCCAACAACAACAATATATTTCCTGTCTTTGAAAGGTAAAACAGTAAAAGCTTCTGATTTAAACAGTTTATATCTAAAAAACTGAAACTTCAGATGAAAACTTTTCTTTATGAAGTTTGAAGTTATTTATAATAAATTAATAACAACCAGACGTTTTGTGTTTCAGAGCTTCAGAAACTGATGATCTCAGAACAAACTGTTCTTTTCATCAACACAATAAAAGTTTCCAACAACAAAGTCTGCTTTGTTTAAATATGAATCTTTACTTTCAGGATTTTATTTCATTCAGGGTTTATTCTCTGAGCCAACAGAAAAACACTGCTTTATAATAAATCTGATTATTTTACTAACAACAACTGAAACCTAAAGATTCAGTGTTTCCTGAGGCAGACGGATCATTTCTGTCTGTTTACAGAAGAACTGCAGGAAGTTTTGTTTCAGACGTTCTTCTTTAAACCGTTACTGACGGCACTGCAGCCAGCTCAGACCTCCACTAAATATACTCAAACACATCCTGTCTGTTTAAAACCACCTGAATCCACTCTTTAAACTCTGGACTCGTTTAGGAACAGCTGGATCCTGAGACACAGGTCCAGTTTTCACGTCTTTAAACCAGAACTTTCTTCTCTGAGCAGAGTCTTCAGATTCTTCTTCTCTTGTTTCAGTGTCGACTCAGACCATCACAACCACCATCAGAACCAACAGCTCAGAACCTCCTGAACCCAACACCACAACTGGTCCTGGTCCTGGGGTCACCACTGATGGACCAACAACACAAACCAACCAGACCACCAACCTGGCCTCTGTCTCTCCTGAACCCAAAACCACAGGAGACACCAGAACCAGTAACACCTTAGTTACTGATGGGTCCACCAACCCAACAAAGCTCAATCTTACCATCGCAACCACCTCTCCCAACACCACACTGGACCCAAACAATGGTTCCTCCGAGACCACAACCAGTTCTCCTGAAAACACAACAGAGACTGGAACAACAGTAACACCAAGTCCCAACCAGACCCGGACCCCTGACCAGACCAGGACTCCAAGCTCAACCATTCCCCAGAAATTGACAACCCAGAACTCAGTCCAAACAACGACCCAGAACTCAGTCCAAACAACGACCCAGAACTCAGTCCAAACAACGACCCAGAACTCAGTCCAAACAACGACCCAGAACTCANTCCAAACAACGACCCAGAACTCAGTCCAAACAACGACCCAGAACTCAGTCCAAACAACGACCCAGAACTCAGTCCAAACAACGACCCAGAACTCAAACCAAACAACTACAAGCAGGAACCCAACTGGTACCGCCCCAACAGCCAGCAGTGCTGGGGGGGTTCCTGGATGGGGAGTAGCTCTGCTGGTTCTGACTGCTTTGGTTCTGCTGCTGCTCCTCCTGCTGCTGTTAGCCCTGGTGAGACCATCATCTTTCTACTTCCTGTGTTTATATTCTACTTAGAGACGCTCGATATTGACTTTTTGCCTGTATTTGATATGGCGATATTGTTCAACACTTAATTTCCGATTCTGATATTAACCAATATTACAAAGCGATATTAAGGTGACATCACATATCTCCTGTCAGGGACATTATGTCTGCTTTTTGATACCCCACTGGATGCATTCCACAGGTAAATATTGTCTGTACAAAAATAAAAACCATTTAATTGAAGTTAGGGAAAAAGTGTCATATTTACTTTTAACATTTTGTCTCAAACAATAGTTTGGTTCAAGCTCGCCCTGAGATAATCCAGTTTGATGATGTCATTAATTTCACACAGGTGAACGTCTCTGGACCACAAGCTTTTATTGACACATTTTGGTCAAATCCAGGCAATAATTTATCTGGCTTTTGTTATCAGGAGAAAAACAGATGCCGAAATGTAGAGATTTTATATTTTTATACTAATATCATACAGATAATACTGTAGGCCGATATTATCGGACATCCCTGGTTCTACCTCCTGTTTATGGCGGCACGTTGTGGTGATGACACAAAGGAAGGTACTCTTAGATTTTAGTTAATCTGAGACATGAGAAACTCAGACCCATAAACACCCAAGAACAGATCAGAACCAAACACTGGACTGTTCTGAAGAGGTCTTCTGAGCAGGTAGAGTTCAGTACTTGTGTACAGGTGCAGACCCTGAACTGAAGAGCTTTCATTCTGTAGTGTTTCAGTCACTGGATCAGAGCTGAGGTGAATTTAAAGGTTCTGTTTGTTTCTGCAGCTGCTGTGGTTCTGTTGCTTAAAACGAAGCAGCAGGTACTTCAGTCCCTACGAGCACCTGAACTCCCAAGATCAGATCCCTCTCTACACCACCCACACCCGCTTTGAGGGCTCCAATGGCAGGCAGAACGTGAGTCTAAATTTCCTGTTACAACGTCTCTGTTCTGTCAGAACTTCTTTCCTCTGTGTCAGAACTTCTTTATTCTGTGTCAGAACTTCTTTCCTCTGTGTCAGAACTTCTTTCCCTGTCGGAACTTGTTTCCTCTGTGGAAAAACTTCTCTCCTCAGTGTCAGAACCTCTCCCCTCTTTGTCAGAACTTCTCTCCTCTGTGTAAGAACTTCTCTCCTCAGTGTCAGAACCTCTCTCCTCTTTGTCAGAACTTCTCTCCTCTGTGTAAGAACTTCTCCTCAGTGTCAGAACCTCTCTCCTCTTTGTCAGAACTTCTCTCCTATGTGTAAGAACTTCTCTCTTCTGTGTCAGAACTTCTTTCCTCTGTGTCAGAACTTCTCTCCTCTGTGTCACAACTTCTCTCCTATGTGTCACAACTTCTCGCCTCAGTCTGAACTTCTTTCCTCTGTGTCAGAACTTCTCTTCCCGGTGTCAGAACTTCTGTCCTCTGTCAAAACATTTCTCCTCTGTGTAAGAACGTCTTTCCTTTGTGTCAGAACTTCTCTCATCTGTGTCAGAACTTCTCTCCTCGGTGTCACAACGTCTTTCCTCTGTGTCCGAATTTCTCTCATCTTTGTCAGAAATTATCTCCTCTGTGTAAGAATGTCTTTCCTCTGTGTCAGAACTTCTCTCCTCAACTTCTTTCATCTGTGTCAGAACTTCTCTCCTCTGTGTCAGAACTTCTCTCCTCAACTTCTTTCATCTGTGTCAGAACTTCTCTCCTCTGTGTCAGAAAGTATCTCCTCTGTGTAAGAACATCTTTCCTCTGTGTCAGAACTTCTCTCCTCTGTGTCACAACTTCTCGCCTCAGTCTGAACTTCTCTCCTCTGTGTCAGAACTTCTCTCCTCTGTGTCAGAACTTCTCTCCTCTGTGTCAGAACTTCTTGAAATGAGTCAAAATCCGAACAGGAAACATGAAGAATCAAATCAGATCAATGAGGACAGAATAAAAAAGTTTGATTTCAACTTTAATCACCAGCTGTACAAACTGAAAGTTGTTTTAATGTTTATAAAATAATTATAAACCAGGAAACAGCCTTTAAATCACAGGAATATTCCATTAAAGCTTAAATTTCTTCCACTCAGGGTTTAAATATTTAAACATAAAGACAAGCTGAAGAGTAAAAATATAAAGTATATTTAAACATTTGATTTGTTTCAGGAAGAGTTGGAGAAGTCGATGAAGGAGCGATCAGGAGCTTACACAATCACCCAGTAACTCTTCATCCTGGATTCAAAGGTTCTTCTTGTTAAAGTTAATTTAATACTTTAAGTGTTGCTGATTTTCATTATTAATCTTAATAATGTTCAGATGTTTTCACTTGTAATAATAAACGGTTAGTTTGATGAAGTTCTTGTTTTTTTAATAATCAGTTTTTTGTTCGCTGGTTCTGACCCACTTTGTTCTGGATCATGTGTCAGGAAACAGATCTTTGTTGCAGAACTGATTCTGTTGGATTTTCAGCTGAACTGCAGTGAAAAGATGAAGGTGTGCAGCTGTTTTTATCAAAGTTTAACATTCATCCAATGTTTTATCAGTTTATGTGAGGAAATGTTGAACTTTTAGCTGTTTTTCTGACTCTCTTTGTGTTTTTGTGTGAATAAAAAACCTCCAGCTGTTTCAGAATAAATAAAACTGATCCTGTTTGGTGGGAAAATCCACTCTTGGACACACCTGTTCACTTTATTCACAAACTTTTTTTATTTAAAAATCTAAACCTGAAGAGATGTTGAGTGAAGAAATATAAAATAAGATGAGACTCAGAGCAGCTGATAATTTATGAATGAAATCATTGAGAAAATCTAATGAAGTTTTCTTTGTATTTGATCCTGTCAGAGAACAGCTGATGTTTGCTGCACTTCCTGCTGTTCAGATGGTTTTATTAGCGACACCTACAGGCCAGGAGGACCTTAAACAAAAAGGTTAAACAGAACTAAACTCTGAGAACTGTTCCTTTAGTATTTCTGCACAAACAACAGTCTGAATGTCTCAAATCTCCCTAATTTAGATAAAGAAATATAAAACTATGATGATATTTTGTTCCTGGTGCAGGACTTTTATTGTGAAGTTTTATCCAGCAGCATCATGATGTGGGTCAGGAGGATTTGATTCCACTCAGACCTTTTATTTGCTGCTGTTCAGAAACATCAGCTGCTGCCAAAGGCTCAGAAAGTCCAGAAACAAACACCTGCTGCAGCTCACCTGTCTCAGGTGGAAACAATGACTCAGCAGCTCTGATCCGAACTCAAACCCGTCCTGCGTTCTGTTCTGGTGTCTGCAGGCGACATGAAGCTGCTGCTGCTGTGAAGCAAAACAACCAGTTTAAACTCTTTTACACTTATTTTTTTAAACATTTAATGGTAACAACATTAAATAACAACTTTTTTTTTTCATTCCAAGATAGAAGATCTACAAAAATAAAATGGCAAATGTACACAAGTAAACAGAATGTTTACAAACAGGTGACATAATTAGTTGTTTACTCCGGTGGCCATTTTGTTTTAACTTTTCCCGCCAAACAACAACCACTGGTTAAACTTCACTCACACTGTTACACATCTTCTCTTCAGGACTAGTGTAAAGTTTTTACAGACAACTAGAACCTAACTAATATTCAGCAGCTTTTCCTTGTAATGTTGCAGCTGTTTGTGGCTGCAGTACCATCTTTGACCACTAAACAAAAATTAATGTGTTTACCTTTAAACCAGAGGTGGCGCTGTGGTCATCTGCGTCTTCTTCTGTGGTTTTATGTTAATTACTGACTGGAAGAGGCGCTTTGCCACTAATAACTCATTTTTTATTTAAATTTTATAATGATTAGTAAAATTAAACAAATACAAGGGAAACTGATAAACCTAATTATTTATTTATTGGAAATAATTAAATTATGAACACAGCTGTTTTCTGTGTGAATATATTTCAGTTTACAGGAAACGGTTAAAACAACTTTTTAAAGCAAACTACAAACCACACCCCCTCTCTAATTTATCAGTTGAAATCCAGATCTTTATTAATATAAACCTTTTTTTAATAAAAATCAAACATTTGTAATTATCCGAATATAAACATGTGAAAAATAAAGGTTTCAGGTAATCCATCTGTAAAAACTGAACTTACAGTTCAAACAGTTTTATACTTTAATGAGAGCGAAACAGATGTGATTTTAATAAAACTTTAAAAACTGTTTTATTTGCTTTATAAAATGAGACCTGGAGCCTGATGTGGTCTCTGCTGCCCCCTGCTGGCCTGGAGACTGATGTGGTCTCTGCTGCCCCCTGCTGGCCTGGAGCCTGATGTGGTCTCTGCTGCCCCCTGCTGGTCTGGAGCCTGATGTGGTCTCTGCTGCCCCCTGCTGGCCTGGAGCCTTTATGATTTCCATCAGACCAGTGAAAAGAGACAGGCAGCCTGGTGAGGTCTGGGTTCAGAGGTCAGAGGTCTGGGGTCTGAGCTCAGGGGTCTCCAGGCTCCTCAGCCACAGCTTCAGGGCGTACTTGGTCCCGGTGCTGACCCGCTCCACGTCCGGCCCGCTGACCGGTGCTGTCCTGGTGAAGACGTGAGTCGGCAGCAGAGCCTGGGTCAGAGCTGAGTCTGCAGAAACCTGCGTCACACTGAGGACATCAGAGACACGTTCAGATCCTCTCCAGAACCAAAGTCCACAAGCAGAGACTCAGACCCAGACCAGGTCTGAGCTTCAGTACCTGACTCTGCTGGGCAGCTCGTCCACACAGACGTCCCCCTCCTCTCCGTCCATCGAGGACACGATGGCTGCTGCCAGTCTCCTGTCCACCCACACAGAGGCACTGACCTCAGCTGGACACGGTTTGAGAGACGGCTGAGGACAGAGAGGACAGGGTCAGGACTGAGGACTCAGAGAGGACAGGGTCAGGACTGAGGTCTCAGAGGACAGGGTCAGGACTGAGGACTCAGAGGACAGGGTCAGGACTGAGGACTCAGAGAGGACAGGGTCAGGACTGAGGTCTCAGAGGACAGGGTCAGGACTGAGGACTCAGAGAGGACAGGGTCAGGACTGAGGACTCAGAGAGGACAGGGTCAGGACTCAGAGGACAGGGTCAGGACTCATAAGACAGGGTCAGGACTGAGGACACACCAGGGTCTGCAGATGTTTACCTGCAGCTGCAGGTGAGACAGGGAGGACAGCAGCAGCATGTAGACCACGATGTGGTGTCTCTGAGGACGTCCTCTGGACAACATGTGAGGAAACACCGACTGTCAGGAGACAGAGACACAGCTGTCCACAAACATCTTCATTTATTTACAAATGTTTTATTCAAATATGTCCAACTTTTTCTCTTTGAAACCTGCTTCAGCCAGCATTTAGCTACATTTAGCTAGTGTTTAGCTACATATAGCTAGTGTTTAGTTACATATAGCTAATAAAGGTAAAGGTGCTTTATTTGTCATCAGTGTATGTTTCCACACAATGACGAAATTTGTGCTCTGCATTTAACCCATCCACA